ATATATATATATATATATATATATATATATATATATATATATATTACAAAATATTTTCTTAGAATATTTATTGCTCTTAAACATTTTTTTAATAAACTAGTTGGTTGTAGTGGTATAACCAAACTTTTTAAAACTTCATTAATAATAATAATAATAATTTGTAAGATATTTAATAGGTCAAGATCCCTCAAATTTGTAAAAACCACATTATCCTTTTCATTTTCATGCAATCAATATAGTGATAAAGTTGAATACTTCGATAATGTTCATTTTTACTAATGACAAAATTTTCAAAATATGATACTATTATCTAAGTTACAATTTTAAAATTATATACATACATATAACTTATAATAATTTAAACATTTGTTGATGTACATAGAATTTCCATCCTAAGTAGCTTGGTTATCAGCCAAACAACAAATTGGTGATTGTATTAGTGGATAACTTTATAGCAGACCATATTAATTATTTATAAATAATTATTTATTTAAAAAAACAATCAAATAAATTCTTTATTACAAACTAATTAGCAAGTTTAATGGATCATAGCACCTAACATATTAGGTTCAATCTCAATCCGCCAATTTTACACCAGCTTACTAACATTCAAACTTACCTCGATTCTCTAGACTCTAATTGCCTCTTTCATGTGAACAAATGTTGATTTCCTTGTAAGAATCAATCAATAAGCTTAATATTCGAAATAATTCTCGAAGCCAGTTTGAGAAGTTAGTATATAAACTAACTACTGTGTATTGGTTTATGTTTTTGTACCATCAACAGATCAATCTTGAGCTTCTACTGAAACAATTTTTATGGAGTTTTACAGTACACGCGCACTTTGATAGAGAAACATTTACAGCTATCGTTTTTTTTTTTTTTTACTTATACCACTATAGATTTGAATAGTTCTCCAGAGCAGGTAATAGATGTTGTCGGCTCAAGATTCATAATTTCGTTCATGACCTCAGCTTTGTCGGCTACAAACATTTCATCCTCTACAAGATGAAGTAACACATACTCATTGTATCTTCAGTAAAATTAAATAGAAATCGTATGATGAATGAAATCCCTACCTTTGTCTGTGTTGAATTCCTCAAAAAAGCGCAAAAGTTTACTTTTGTTTGCAAATAGTATGTTGGCAATGTCGGCAGGCTTGTTCTGGTTAGCCACGAAAAGCTGCATGATAGCAAAAATAAAAGTGGAAGTGAATAATAAGAAGCCAACTATCAAAATCATCCAACTTAATTAATAAATTAAATTTCAAGTCTTCGGTGAAACCTTGAATACATGAAATGCATCAATCTGGATGCTCTTGTGTGATTCCTGCAACACGAATGTTAGTCTTTTTGGAAATGACAAATGTAGAAGTAGCTTGGTCATCTAAGTTTTCCATCATCGAACTTGCTTGTTTGCAAATGCAATAATTATTTGTTTACATTTCAAAGTTGACACATAATGAAGCACATAAAAGACACTCGAAGTCTAGTTTTGGAAGCAGTTAACCGCTATTTTGTAGAAAGATAAACAAGCAACCAAGTCCGATGAAGTTCAATACAATAGAATGCTTATAATTGGATTTCATTTGACCTTCCCAGTAGTTCGGGACCTCCGATTCATGCCAACGTACAAAACATATCTAAATGAAAATTGAAGTGAAAAAAAAAAACAAAAAAAAATTACCCTCAGAAGATTCATTAGCACTCTCATATTATCCTTTGAGCTGACATAACGCATCATGGTACCAGAATTTGATCTGTCAAGTAAAATATCTCCAAGAAGCTGAAAGTTAAAAGTAGCCGTCAGCAAAAAGATCAACATATTCTAAAACTTTAATTGGAGTGCTTCAGACATGACATTTATCACTTCTGACTCACTGAATTAAAGTAACCAAATGCTTGATGCATCTCATTCGACCAACTTAAAATCATGTACACAGTTGAATAGTGATAAATATAACTGTTCATTTCCTCAATAATAACCTCAAAAATCAAATACCTTGACAGCGTGTCTTCTGGTCATGTAATTTGCAGATCCCAGCAACTTTGAGTTGAACTCAGCAAAGAACTAGGGGAAAGTGGAGAACATACAAGTTCTTTATAAGCGAAAATGTGAAATTTAAGGGGAATGAAGGTACTATAGATGAATAAAACCAGTAAGTGGAATGGAAGAACAAATAACATAATTAGATTCTGGAAAAGGTATTTTAAAGGTAACATATTGTACACCCAATTTATTAGGTAGTACATTTTGTATACATGAATTATTTTGTGGGATAAGACTATTTAGGAAATGAATTAAATAATGTCCGTTCAAGTTTAGTCCTTTTTTGGATAATAATAAGATAGAGCATTGCATATCATCGCTTTCTTATGTCGTATGATAAAACATTACCACGGTAGAGAGATAAAAGTGAAAGCAATACCCAATTATAATTATCTGTGAGAAAATCTGCAACCGTGGACTTGTGTCGTGTCATAAGCTCCTGCAAGTATTTTAAAGAACAATACACAAATCAACTTGTTTTTCACTTACACAATTGTTTTAGAAAGCAACATTGGGAAATCTTTATCTATCAAACGAATCATGGATATTCCAGAAGCATAATCGGAAGTTAAATGGAATTTGTGTATAATAATAAAAAAAGAATAGTAGAAGGGAATCATGACACAAGTATTTGTGGCTTTAATGACAGTTTTAGTAACAAAAACAGGTTAGTGATCTTACAACATCCGTCCTAGAACTTGAAACCCGTCACACCAGGTTAAACATGGATTCATTTCAAGTCTTGCCGATGAAACCATAAATTGTACATTACAAGTTTCTCAAACTGTCAGGGTACAACTTTTGAATAATTTCTGGTTTCCAGAATATAGAGATACAAGTAAACATGAAGCAATTTATCCAGATCTAGGTTCATTATGCCTAGGTCAACCTTCATCAAGAAAAAAATATACAACAATAATTATAACATACATAGTTGGTGAAAGAGCACTGGTAATATAGTTATAGATACTATTAAATACCTTAAATGTAGCAGCAGCATCTGAAGCGACATCAAAATTTGGGAATTGAATATAGTCAAAAAACTTCTTCATATGCTCCGACTTCAAAATATACCTGTAGGATAAATTGGTCAAGGATAATACTGCTCAAATTATCATAAATTAGTTAAGGATAAAATATTTTCTCCAAAAAGAAGGAAGCAGCGGCCACAGCAGACCTTCATAAGATGTTGAATAATACCAATCTGAAATCTATATTTGCATGTCAACTTCTTACCTAGCAACAACTTGATGGCGTATGCATTCCCTTAACATGCCTCCGAAATGCAAAGCAACTGTAGGATCTTCATACCTACATGAAATATAGGGTAACTAAGTGGTGCATGTATCCAAATACTCACAAATGTTAGCATCCAAAAACTCATTAAGTAGGTAAAGGAAGCGTGATATACTAGAGCATTTTATTTTCTGGAACATGTTAAAGTGGGTCAAAAGCTAATGGTAGAGCCTCAGGGATCAAGACATTAGCAAACACATTATACATAATAATGTTGCGATTTAGTCTCAGAAGTTATGTTATATAAGCTTTCCAGCCATGAAAAATCTATAAAAATGAGGAATCACACCCAAGTTACAATGAGTACCCGAGCTTTTGCTTTACATATTTTTGTTAGAGCAAGTTGCCTTTTTTTTTAACGAGGAAACACCGAAATTTTTAAAAAAGAATTATGACTTTTAACATAAAACTGCAGAAGGAATTGGGCAAAACCATTTGACCCCTGAATCCAAAACAATCTGAAAATGGATATTCAAGTTGCGAGCAAGATAAGTTCTTTACACCACTACAGCTGCCAATTATTTTAATTTCGTGTAACTCAAGATTCTCATGTTTACACACATCAAATGTTATATATTAACAATTAGCACTACCAAGTATCAGTCTTTGTCGGAAGATCTAAATTCAACTGTCTTAGATTGCCGATTTTATAGACACATCAAAGAAACTTTAAATTCACAAATCATGGATAAGATGAACTAGAAGAAATACTCATTGAATTTCCACGCACTTCCATGAGAGATCAAAAGTTTTTAAGTACTCCAACGTATAAGATAGACAAAAATAGTTGACATTTGAGTGTAGCACATTATCAAGGTTGAAGGGTAACAAACCCAGTAATCAGTTGATCTATAAGATCCAAATTGGCTTCTAAGTAAGATGAAGCAATTAATCGTGATTGAACTGGTTGCCTTTGCAAATTTGCAACCACTCGAGTAGCATCCTTTCGAGCCTGTGGACAAATCATATATCAAATGTAGCAACGTCAAATTAGGATATGTTATGCTGAGAAGTTCATACATATTTTGAGGAAATAGCGTTCAATGGTGGAATGAAAACATAGGCTAACAATAGTATTCAATTCACACAAGTTTGGGAGTCACCTCAAAGTTTAATTTTCGGAGACATGTAATGAGAAGCCGCATAGTGTCATCGCTAAAAAACTCTTCAGTTAATTGTGCACAGGCTTCTGGAACAGGTTCGGATTCGTCAATACCATAAAGAATTGACTTCAGCTCCCTGATATTGGCATCCAATTGTTCCAACTGAAATTTAAAGGCTTTGTTATATTAAAAGGTCCAATGAAAATAATGGTTATGGAAACCATAAAGCAGCCATCATAATCTCAGACTCTATTGAACTCATCGAAGCTACAATTTGTAATTTCAAAGACAAGTCATGATTACATCAACTCTCAATGAGAAAACAACCAATGACATTGCTACTAGACATTCACCATCTTGTTGAACGATTGTGTTAAAAGATTCTATCCACAGAACTAATGAAATACTAGAATTGGTTGAACATTAATATGAAGTGACTTGATTAAATAAAACATTGTACCCACATAAATTAAAAGTATATATTTAATGAAGAGGTTAGAAGAAGGAAAATCCAATAAACAGAGTCCATCCCTCAACCACAAAAATTCATTTTTATTTTATTCTTCTGAAAAAGACAACACTTTTCGTATAATATGGACAAAAGATGGTGAAAACATAAAGTTTGGGGAGGAAACCTTCTGAATTTACATTAAAACCCCTTCCAATTTTTTTTGTTCATCTTATAGGAAAATGCTAAAGTCCCATTACAAACTATTCCGTCGGGTTTTGTAACCGTTAGATCATCATGTAACCGTCTGAAATAGTTGATCTAAACGGAATGGTTCCGTAACGGGACCGTAGCATCTTCCCATCTTATAATTTGGCGGAACGCTGTTAAACCAACAAGCAAAGATTTGCTGCAATTTCAAAGTAAATCTCCTTTACCCCAGTGCTTGCATATCATCCATTCCTAAGATCTTATGGAACAGTAGTTTTGCATTTTCTACGCATAATACACGGATTTAGGAAGGCGTAATAATTTCTTTGTATTGAATGTTCCGAAACCAAACATGATCTGAAATTTCCACAACCGAAAGCAAGGAAATTAACAACAACAACAACAACAACAACAAAATGAACCTTGTCATCGTGTTTAGGATTGACATTGTCATCCTCAGCGGAGATGTAGGACAACAATTCCCTAGTTTCGCGCACAATGTAAAGCGGAGCCCTAGGTTTCTTGGATTTGAAGAGGTTCTTCATGGATGCGCTGCGCAACACCTTGGGTACAAGCTTCTTGAAGCTCATGGAGGAAGCCGATGATCTCCTGGCGAAGGCATCCTCCTTCTCCTTCTTCACCACCGCGATCGGCATCACCCCCCGGCGGAATGAAATCCCGCCGGAACTACGATGGGATTTTTGAGATTCAGCTATTAAGAAGAAGATTTTCAGGTGAAGCTCGCTGGCTGGCTCTGGTTCAGGTTGTGGTAGAAGAAGAATGAATGTGGGAGAGGGGTTATCTAGGAAAGGGGATGAAGAGCAGCAGTTGTCGGAGAAAGAAAAGGGAATCTATATATATAAAAAGATTAACTATTTACCCTAAATAGTAATCAAGAATTTTGGAAAACATTTATTGAATGCTATTTTTAGATTTAATCCCTTCTGTATATTTATTCAAAATGTGTTAGAGCCTTGGTGACAGATTCTCACGCGGATGCTGACATGACGAAAATTTGTGTTTCGTGATGTTGTATTTATATTATTTTTGCTCTAAAATTAGGTTTAGTATTAGACATAAATAACTTTACACATATATAACTCAACACTCATGTTGTACATGCTTATTAATACTAGTTTTTTTTTTTTAAAAAAAAAAACATAAATTGAATCATGCATCCTAAAATATTGACTTTGGTTTAATCTTGATATGGGATTGCATAGAAGCCCAAAAAATGGGACACAGTATTGAGAAATTTACACAATTTACATTGCAAAGAATAAATAATATCAAATTTACGATATGACAAAATTTTCAACATAAGTACGTCTTTTAAAATTTAAATCAGATTTAGTGGGATTTACACTTGCATGATTTTCGGGAAATGGGATTTACTCTCCATATTTACACTCAACCACCTAAAAAAAAGAACTGAAAATCTCCATCTCTCTCTCCAAATCTCGAGAAAAACTTCAGAAAAAACTCAAATTTTCATATCTCTCTCAAAATCTCCAAATCTCCATTTCCATCTCCATCTCCATCTCCATCTCCATCTCTCTCCAAATAAACATCACGTCTCAATTAAAAAAAAAAAAACCTTCATCGCCTGAACCGAACTATCGCGAACTCTGGACCTTTCTCCGACGAGCCGTCTCAAAACCGCAGTGCACCATATTTTGCCGGTGAAGTTGTGGAGAACAATGGCAAAGGAAAACAAATCGAGAGCAAACCCTCCAAAAGTGAAGACGAAGCAAGGATAACTCGCTCCCGATCTCGTCGCACATCCCAATTTCAACCCTGCGAGCGAAACATTGTACCAAAAAAACTTCAATTCGAAGTCGTAACCTGACAGTTCATCGCCGAGAAATTCGTTCGCAGCCTGTCTGCACTTTAGATATTGAGTCGTTCGTCCAGAATTGTGTATTATGTGTTTTATACCGTTTTAGTGTTGTTTATATCTTGTTTATCTTATGTATAACTATACATGTAATATTAGAAATGTTAGACCATGTTTATCTAATGTATATATACAGTATATCTAAACATATTTTTTCGTGATTATGAGGAAGTATATGTACAGTTATACTTAACATAAACGGTAGATAAACAAAATATTGTCACACACAAGCCGTTGATGAATATATTGATTTTATTTGCCAAAGATTTGCTTTTCTCATACCAAATATCAAATCACTGCCAAAACTCGGATAATCTGAAAAAAATCCCCACCGTCACAGTTACGTGGCTGTAAGCAGAGCTAGCCCATCTCGCCACCGCCAAAGCACACCCCATCTAAAACACTGGCTTTGGCGTACCTCCATACGTGAAACTAAAGATAGTACCATCGACGAAAATAGTTGTCCTACAATGATTCCACCCTTTAATTGAAGCATTAAGACATATGGACACTTTTATCTTTGAAAGTTTCACCGACCGCAATATCAGTATTCATGTATCCATCGACCAAAACTCCAAGGGGTCATTTACTTTGCAGGATAGGGACAGGATAAGACAATTATCCTACATTTACATTGCAGGATAGGGATGAGATTTTAATGACCTGGCGCCCATGTGGCAGCCGCTC